GAACCATAGGGGACTCGTTGAAAGTAGAATGAATACAGCCCACACAGCAAATATTGACGCTGGCTCATGAGTCACGGTCAAAATATGCGTCGATCACTTTATCAAGGCGGGGTTGGTCTTTGGGTTCCGGAACTGCACGCCTTGTTTTTGTGGTTGCCGGAAGGGCAAAACCATACCCACAAGCCAGCCAAACCATACCCACAAGCCACTGGACACTCAAGATGCGCCTATTGGGTGCTTTTGACCAAAGCTACACTCCCCGGCTTGTTACTCAAAACTGCGTTCCCCGGCTTGCTATTTGGAGGTTGCTGGAAGGGCCAAACCATACCCAAAAGTAATTTTGGAGCGTCGAAAACACCTTTTCGGATCATTCGCGGGGTGTGAACTGCATTCGGGCCACCGATTGCTCTCCTTCCTACTGCTCATGCTTCTTGCTTGCACCCGCAGGCGCCACAGTCGGCATGCCAAACCATACCCAAAAGTAATTTTGGAGCGTCGAAAACACCTTTTCGGATCACTCGGGGAGTGTGAACTGCATTCTGGGCCACCGATTGCTCTCCTTCCTACTGCTCATGCTTCTTGCTTGCACCCGCAGGCGCCACAGTCGGCACGCCAAACCATACCCAAAAGTAGTTTTGGAGCGTCGAAGACACCTTTTATGATCATTCGCGGAGTGTGAACTGCATTCTGGGCCACCAAAGTACTGCTTGCTCTCCTTCCTACTGCTCACGCTTCTTGCTTGCGCCCGCAGGCGCCACGGTCGGCATGCCAAACCATACCCAAAAGTAATTTTAGAACGTCGAAAACACCTTTTCTTTTCGGATCATTCGGGGGGTGTGAATTGCATTCTGGGCCACCGATTGCTCTCGTTCCTACTGCTCATGCTTCTTGCTTGCACCCGCAGGCGCCACAGTCGGCACGCCAAACCATACCCAAAAGTAATTTTAGAGCGTCGAAAACACCTTTTCGGGGGGTGTGAACTGCATTCTGGGCCACCGATTGCTCTCCTTCCTACTGCAAGCGCCACAGTCGGCACGCCAAACCATACCCAAAAGTAATTTTGGAGCGTCGAAAACACCTTTTCGGATCATTCGGGGAGTGTGAACTGCATTTTTGGCCACCGAAGTACTGCTGGCTCAAAACGATACCCAAAACGACACCGAAACCACACCCCTCGTGCTCGCATGGTGCTGCTGTGCTTCAAGTTGTTTATAAGTCTCGCTTGCAACTACCAAGTCACCGGACAGCAGTCCGGGCTGCGAGGCGCACGCACGCAACGTGTAGCTGGTTTTGGCACATGCCCTGGACTGAGAGAATATGGGCAACATTTTTCTGGTTTTGGAGGGCTGTCTGAACGATACTCTGAACGATACCTCAACGACACCCGGAAAGCACAAAAGGCGGGCCACCGCTTACCCATCAATCAGTGGTGGTCAGCGTGTGGGCCCTGCTCCACCTCCCATGCTTGTGGGCGGTCTGGAACCAGCGTCAAAAAGCATGTCATGGAGCTTGTGGGGAGGCGCAGCATCTACACCCTTCCAGCCTTCCTGCCTTCCTGCCTTCCTGCCTTCCTGCCTTCCTGCCTTCCTGCCTTCCTGCCTTCCTGCCTTCCTGCCTCCTTGCCTCCCTGCCTTCCTGCCTTCCTGCCTTCCTGCCTTCCTGCCTTCTTCCCTTGCTCCCTTCCTTCTTCTTCTGCCCTGCCTCCCTTCCTCTTCTGCCCTGCCTCCCTTCCTCTTCCTCCCTTCCTCTTCCTCCCTTCCTCTTCCTCCCTTCCTCTTCCTCCCTTCCTCTTCCTCCCTTCCTCTTCCTCCCTTCCCTTCCACCCTCCTTTTTCCCTTGCCCCATCCTTCCTTGCTCCCTTGCTCCCTGGATTCCTTTATCCCTTCCTCCCCATCCTTCTTCCCTTCGTCCTTTCTCCTCCTGCTTTCTCTTCCTCCCAGTTTCTCTTCCTCTGCTCTCTTCCTCCATTCTTTCCCTTTCCCCCTTCCACCCTTCCTTGACATAAACACACCAGTGTCTGAAACATTGCAGAACGATATAGCCCCCGCCCAAAGTAGTCTTAGGTTTTGCCTCTCGCTCACGTGTGCTTGAGGACTCCACACATGTCTTCCCAGAGGTCCGGAACAACCAGCCTTACGTAACTGACTCGTTCCAGACGTCCACGTCACCGCGGAACGTTCCACACCAGAATATTGACCCACACCCATATCTAGATATGGGATGATATGGGTAGGTTACTCCTCGATCTGTTTTTCATGGGCTGGAGGGGGGGAGGCCCAAACAAGCCCTTAATAAGGCTTCATAAGAGCTTAATAAGGGCTGATTTTGGCTCCCTCCCCCCCTCCTCCCTCCCCCCCAGCCCCCATGTTTTGTGCCTGTTGGTTCCTTTTTGGGTGAATGCTCCGGCAATGCAAACACAAACAAGTTCGAATGTCCCACTGACCTTCCTGTTCCTGAAAAATGGGCAGTCCCCTCGATCCGTGCTTCTCAGATGTTGACCGGGTCCCAAACAGTACGTCACGTCGCGATGAATGCCTCAGGCGTCAGGCTCGGGCCGGCCCTTTGTTCAAACAGGTTGAAAGCATTGTGCCCAAAGGTATAATTTCGCTGCCCCCTTGGCGTTTTCGGACTGGATAGCCACCCCAAGGTGGCCGATGCTCTGCGATCTATGGCTCCCACAGGCTGGTCGCCTGCGGTTTCGCCGGATGGCCAGGGGTTTCGTTTCTGGCTTTCTTCGGGGGTGCACGAAGTCCCAGGATCTTCCGTCGCGCCTTTTTGTAGGCCTTTTCCCACTACATGGCATGGTCAAAGAGTCAAACCCGAAAAGGCTTCGTCCTTTCTTTGGCGCCCTTTTCCCTGGTTTGAAACCGCCGAAAACGAGGGTTCCCCTTTGTTGGGTACCACCTTTCCCCCTTTTTGCTTGAAACCCAAAAAGGACAAATGTAAACCCCAAGGGGCAATCTCAGCGTTGGGTACTGCAAAGGATGAAGACACAGAAGCCTGAACCAGAGAGAGAGAGAGAGAGAGGTTTGTCTCAGCATGCGACCGCCAAAATGGTCCGTTTCAAAGCAAGCAAAACCAGGCTGCCCCCAAAAACGCTCCGACACAAAACAACAGACATGTTTCTAGCTCGGCAACTTGTGACCTCAAGATGATGGGATCAAAATGCATCGTTGTCATTCGAGTACATGATGGTGAGACGTGAGACGTGAGACATAAGGGAGTAAACCTGGCCCATGAAATAAAGCATATCAACTTGATGATCCTGCCCGTGCAAAGCGGCTTGGTGAGAGTAGATTTCCTCCAGACGCTCACGCGAGCATCGGAGAGACTAATGTTCAACTTGCATTTTGTCTGTTTTGGAATTTGTGGCTTTAAGAGCGCATCAGAGGGACACCGAAGCTCATGTGGGATGCCCCTATTTTGAGACTTTTGCAGCTCGGTTTGCAAAAGAGCGAACAACAAGCAGGAACACGATCATACTGACAGGAACACGTTGTTCGAAGGCCGAGACGCAGGAGACATAAACACGGTGCGCAGGCAAGCATGAAGGGAGCAGACGCCTTGTTCACGCACAAAGTGTTTGACACTTCAAAATAGGTAAGATGCTTATAGATGAATATCAGGTATGCGTCTTCGTCTGGATTCGACGTAAAGAAACTCTTCCAACTGGCAACAATTCCCTTTGGGCGCTTTCATCGGCCAGTTGTGGCTCAAGAGGGTAACCACTGCCCAGTGGTCGCCGCGCGGTCGCACGTGGGTCTGAACCAACACCTTTTTTTGAACACAAACGCAACTGGTCCAAGCCGCAGGAAACCCGAGTCGCAACCAAGCACATGGAAGCAAGCAAACCACGGCTGTCAAGACACGTCCAACATCTTCACAGACTTGCGGAAGCGATCTGTTTGCCGATCATGGGCTGGTCGGCCTCAGAAGGCGCTCGGCTTGATGATTCCCGATGTCCGATGTCCAACCCCGCTCACGACAAATACGCACCGCTGGATGGTTTTGAACATCCACTGTTGATAAGGTTTCTCCAAGCGAGCCAAAATCAAAACCCGGGTGGATGAAGGTTTGTAAGGGCCAGTCCCAGCCAGAAATAGGTGCGGCCACCTGTTAATTTGCTTGCATGGATGTGGGTAGACCATTTAAAACCAGGTTTTGATTGTGAATCAAGTGAGGTGATGTGTCCTCAGTTTTGAGGACACATGCTGACAATTCTGTACTTGGGGCTGTTGCAACATGTACAATGCTAGATACTCCAAATCAGCTCTCAGAGGAGGATGCTTTCCAATCAGACTCAGCAAGAAACTTGGCCGAATTCTGGGTCCCATGAGGAAGAACAGGAGGCTGGTCCTTGAGAGGCAAGACACAAGAATTCAAATTGTGCATGTCATTTTTTGGTTGGTCTGCTTGCAATTTCAGAGGGCCCTACACAGTTTGCAGGGATGATATTGATTGGGTGATTGCTACATCGACCCGGTCAGATACAGGTACATCTTGCATAGCCGGACAGTCATTGTTTCCATCCAGTTAGGGATGCTTTCCAACAAGCCTGCTGATGTTCATACCCCTCTCCCCACAAGGGGTGTGTACCCCTTATGCAGTAGGTTGGAAACCAGGGAAGCCAATGGGTGTGAACCAGGGGTATGTATGGCCACCCTTAGATTCAGCGCCTCTGGGAGACTCCCTCGCGTATGCTCTCCTTTGCACAATGCAATCCTCGTGTCAGTTTAGCAAGTCAGCTTAACATGTTTGAGCTTTTTGCTGATTCGATGCTTCTGATGCTGAAAGCATTTAGTTTCGAAATTGAAGGTGTCTTGGAATCGGGGACCGCATGGGATGGTGTTCCTTGTTGTAAGCTTGGCCAAAAGCAAACCGTTGCCATTTTCAGGCGTTTCATTCCTAGTTCAAAGTTCGAGGGTCCCCCCTTCTAAATATTTTTGTTTGATGGAACGTTCAATCGACGACCCTCGGGGCAGGCCCCCCTCTTCCCAAAAATGGGTGGGTTTTCCTCTTAGTTCTCCTTCAGCCAAGGAAAAACATGGCTAGGACTCATGGGAGCTCTTTGGCTCCACCCAGCTGCCGAGCCGACCCGACATACCCCGCGTCGCCCGCGTCGCTAATCGTCAGGTGACCAGGGCGTGCCCTCGGAGGTCTGCGACGAGTTGGTGAAGTCGGCCTGTCTCGATGGCCGAGAGGCTGGCTTTAAGCCCATGACCGCAGGCGGGCAGAAGCTTCCGTGGGGTGGTAGTTGGTTGGGCCGGGGGGGAGGAGTCCGACTCTTTGTGTCCCCTTTGAAGGTGCTGAACATCACCTGGGCAAATTGCAGGGAATGGGGGTTTTGTCTGAAACTGGGGAAAAACTCAACTTGCAGGCTTTGGCAAGTTTGAGGCTTTCAACATCAGTTTGGCAGATTTGAGGTGCCTGGAGATTCATTCTCCATGAGTTTCCTGGTAGTTCTCGTGTTTAACTTGCTTTTCCCAGATCTCGATGTTTTGTTTCGTGAAGTCGCCTAAAACTGCTACAACTCCTATATGTCCGTGAGATTTCAGAATTGGTCTCTTTTTTTATGTTTTCCCCGCCCGGAATTACCCGCAACACTCGCAAACAGCCCGCAAACGCCCACAAAGCCCCACAAACGCCCGCAAAACTTCTAGAAGCCATTTTGAATGCCCAACGTGCCCATGCGTGCTTAAAACTACCAGGAAATCAAAAACGCCTGGGAAAAGGCCGGAGAATGAATCTTCAGGTGAGTGTCTCTAGGCGATTTCAGGAGAAATAAGGAATTTGTTTCTGTCTGAACCTCAAAATGCTGGTTTTCAAGTTGGGTTCTCTTGCCAAGCAAACCCAAAGCCAGAACCCAGTAGTGCCCTTTCTTCCTTGCTTCTTTGAATAGGGTCTGTTTGAAATCAACTACCGAAAATAGGGTGCCTTTTTTCCATGGGCTCTGGGTGGGTGTCTGGGTTTACGTGACAATATTTGTGAATATCAACAATCGTATACACTGTTTAAAGCTACGCCCTGAACACCATTGTCCTTTCAAGCTACGGTGTGACGGCTTCCGTGTTAGTAGTTAGGTGGGCGGGAATTCATTTGCTGGTCGATGTGCAAACGTCCAAACTTCACATGCCTGAGTGAACTGGGGCACCAAGTTGGGGAAGCCGTGCGTTTCCAGGAAAACTCGCCATTTGGTTGTTCGCCCTTTGGGGTTCGCCAGGCAAGAATCCAATCAGCTTCTTGGGCCCAAGTCTGGCCGAGACATGTTAAGCCCTGAAGAGACGCCTTTTGTGGGTGCTAAGTATCCCACAACAGCTTATTTTGTTCCCAAAGCGAAACCCAAAGTGGGTCGCTCTCTCTCTCTCTCTCTTTTTTTCCAGACCCCCTATGTAGTGCTCATATTATTGGTCAATGAACTGGTTCAAAGGGTCCAAGATCGGTCACGCCGCATCATATCAACGATCAAGCGAGTTGCAGTGACTGGCACAAGGGAGCAACCTCAGAAGGGGATTCGTTTTGCAAAGCAAGCCGTGGGAATCCCAATGTTCAGCTCGAATTGTCAGTCACCAAAAGCAGGGTACGTGTCACAGTGGTGGCCGCTCAAACGGGCGGGTTCTTTTGGTTTCTTACAAACGTCAAAACACGCCTTGGTTGGTGCACATTGCAAGGGTTGCTATCATGGAAGCCCTGACCCGCACACCATGGCACTTGGGGAAAAACCAAGGGCTTTTCAGACCAGAAAAGACTCTATTGGAACCTTCTCGAGCCGGATTTCTCAACCTTTCCGGGACAGGGGGCAGAGGGGCTTTGTTCGGAGTTTTCTCCACCTTAGAGCAGCGCCTTGCTCGCCTTAGCAAGGGGGGTGTCCTAAAGAAGCTTCCGCGAAAACTCAAAACTCAGGCCGCGGGACGTGCCTAAAGAAGCCTCAGAAAGCGAACATTCCGAAGGGCCGCTTTTCTCAATTTGATGTTCAAGTACCTCGCGGCTATTCAGTTTGGCCCCTTTTACTAGCCTTGTCTTCCCCCGAATTAGCTCCCCTTTTTATTTTTGGCTTTGGTGGGGTCCCTTTGTTTTCCACTAACCAGGCAAACAAATAGTTTTTTGCTGGGGCCCTAATTCCAGCCAAGTTGTATGGAATCATGTGTGTTTCCTTCTTAAGCCCCTAGGAAGAAATAAACATATGTCCAGTAGTGATCGATTCCTTTTAAAACCAACAGGGGGAGAAAAAAACACATATGCTTAAACAAATGGAAGTTTACCAGTAATATGGTCTTTCCAACAACTTTAAAGTCCAGGAACTCAGGCAGTGGGATCCGCAAATGTTGTTACAACTCCAAAACCCGGGAATCACCCGGGTAAAGAACGTCAGCGTGAGCTCGGCTTCCCCCCCGACAAAAAGGTCGCCAGACAACAACACATGAAACATGCGTCAAACAAAAGAAGTAAATAAGTAAACAATTAAATAATAATCAAAAACACATAATAATAATAATAATAATAATAATAATAATAATAATAATAATAATAATAATAATAATAATACTAATACCAATAACAAATAATAACATGGTAGGACAATCTGGGTCAAAAAGCACAGGTTGCAGCGTCGGAGAAGCCTGGCAGTTGACGGCTGATTACCAGGAAAGCCAAAAGGAACAGGAGTGTTGTTTGGTCCTTGTTTTGTTGGTCATCGAGAGAAAATAAACAAGTTTGGAGTTGTTTTTGCCAAACCGCTCGGGAAGTGAGCGATTCCATGATCTCCACCCTCTGATTTTGTCCAAAAGGTTTTCATACGCCTCAGATTCATAAAGGGGTCACCCCCGATGAATATATGAGGTTGACACTACAAGGATTTTGGCCTCATATTCGACGTTTTCTTTTAAGCCGCATATTCACAAGGGGTCACCCTCTCTAATACTAGGTTGATATTATTATACCAAAAGGTAGATTTGCCCAAAAGGTTCAAATGGTTTCAGCCTCATTTTACTAAAGGGGTCCACCTCCTCTACTAGTTTGATATTACCAAGATGGTTGTCAACATCTACTGAACGCGTTTCTTCAGCCGCCATTTTCGCAAACCTTTGCTTCGGTAGGTGTTGAGCGAATTTTACCTTTGTAGTATTCCATGCGGGTTTCTTACTTGACTGTTATATGGATCTATAGACTTTAACTTTTTGGAACATCAAGTTGGGTTCTCCATTAAACCCACAAACAATTAAATTACCGTATGATTTAATCTGCACACCCGTTCGTGGTTCGTGGTATTACCACCGGCCACGTTACGAACCATAGTCATGCGGGGCACGAAAAGTTAAGCTTTTTGCAGAGGGGTCAACAGCAAGCAAGCAAGTTGGATGCAATGACTGTCCTTTTGTGCAAGCTCGAGCCCACTTTCTTTGTTGCCCAGTGGTGCCCGAAGGGTTCCCCTTTAAACGCAACCCTCCCACGGTGAGCGCTGCGCTTGCTGTCCAGGTTTCTCCAACTATGTGTGGAGCGCCAGCTGGGAGGAGCGGGCCTTGGTGGTGAAGTGCTTCACGGACCTGGTTCTGCTCCGGGTGGAACTGCATGCAGCGCCTTCTTCCGCAAAAATGCGGGGGGGGGGGGGGGGGGGGGGGGTGCGTGTGCCTGTTTTTTTGTTTTGCGGGGGGGGGCTTGTGTGTGTGTGTTTGGTTTTGTTAGGGGGGAGGGCTGGGTGGGCGGATATTCTGTCCGTGCGTGTGTGTGTCTGTTTTGTTTGGTTGTGTATTAGTTTGCTTTTTGTGTGCATGTGTCTGTTTGTTTTTGTTTGTTTGTCTTTTTGTCGGTCTGTGTGTTTATTAATTTGGTCGTTGCCTTTGCCTTTTCCAACAGCTGAAATAACCTACTCATTGCGCCGGCTTGGCTGGTGTTACCCATCCGTGGGTACGGCGACCCTAAACTGGCAGCTAGCTTTGCAACCAGTTGGCTAGGAAGCCCTTCCAGTTCGTCCTGGCAGATGTCCACTTGGCATTTGAGCAGGTGAAGCCGTACCTTTGTTAGTTTGAATCCAGCTTTCGAGCGTCAAACCTTCGGAACACATATTGACCCCTGATTGATACCTGCGCAATAGCAAGTTCAATTGGTATTCTCAGTTGTTCAGTGGCTCCCTGTTTCCTTCTTTTTTTTGGTGGCTGCCCCACTAAAATGGTCTTCCCAAAAAAGGGTTCCCCTTTTTTTCAAGGGTCACTGGTCAACTGAGTATTGGCTGGTGTTCGCAATTGTCTCTCTACTTGTGTTTCGGGGGGGCTGAGTAGCAAAGTGCTTTTCCGCGTTCGCCTTTTCCCTGTTGGCGTTCTAAAACTGATCAGCCAACCAGTAGCCAGAAAATCCCCTGGACATTTAATGGGGACATTCACACATGTTAGTGGTTGCATAAAGCCCCGTCTAAATCAGCCAAAAGGACCCCAACTCAAATTCATTCCGAAATGCAAGTGCACCAACACAATCCGGGGCTTGCTTTCGTTCTTGCAATATTTGGGGCATTCACAGCTTGATTCCCCAGTATTGCAAGTGGGAGGCAATGAAATTCCTTCATACTTGTGACACGCTGACAGATTTAGCGTTGTGAACTGTGTGCGTTTCTGACAACACCATTCTCAGGCAGGGGGTTTGAAGGTAGGCTTATATACCACCAATACAAGTATGTAAGGCAGTATGTAGCCTGTATACAACAAGTAGCATATGCGTATATGCCATCCAGAACCCATCCCTGGAAAAGCAAACTTGTTTTGTGGGTTTTCCAGCATTTCCCCTGCCAGCGTAACAAATGCTCTGTCGAGGCTCAATTTTCCGGAGTGGTTCAGCCCGTTTTTGGATTCCATCAGTGTGCCTCCTGGATACCTGGTGTGCCAAAATGGGGGGGGGGGGGCAACTCTCATTGTTGGGTGGTTTTCAGCCAACCCTGAAAAGGGTGCCTGCCCTCCAACACGAAAGTGGCTAAGCCCCAAATGGGCGGTTTTCCTGCTGAGAAGCCAAGCCCGAAGCAAGACAAGCAAGACCCGGAAAGAAACGAACGTGGGCTGAGGTGGGTGTGATCGACCAGCTTGCCAGCCAGTGCGGCGTGGGGCCCCGCATCCACAGCTGCTGCCACCTGGGGATGGTCATGGACTTTCTGCCCGGCCGAACCTTGGAAGAGGCGCGAAAGCGCGCGTGCCATTCGCGCCATGACCGCGGAAGAAGTCCATGCCAAGCACCTGTTTTGGTGGCTCCCAGCCATCCGGTTCCTGAGCTTTTTAGCCTTTAGTGCTTAGTGGTAGTTTCCATTTAAACCACTAAAAGTTGAACTTTTAGCGGGGGATCTGAGGGCAGCCCAGCTGTTGGTAGGTGGTTTACCCCAGTCTTCATAAGCTTTCATCTATTCCAACTGGTGCAGGAGTTTGTCAATGCACAGTAGGTGTCCCTTTAAATCATTTTGGTTGAACGTAGATAGCTAGGCTTGAATCTAGCAGACATGCGTCCAAGAGGGCAGGGCCAGTGTCCGAAACAACGCTTTGCCCAGCAGCAGGGCTGCACATAGACACAGACAGGAACTGGAGGCATAAGTTAGTCTCATGTTTGTCCATCCCCCCTTTAGGCCCTTGGTTGCTATGCTTTTGACCTGTTCTCTCCCTTGTTTTGGTGGGTTGGAAGAATATGTGTTTCCCCACAAACCAGGCAACAAGTTTTTGGGGCAGGGGGCAATCGCCAACCGTTGCCGGGTAGCTGGATTGAAATCCGGCCTCCAGCCTTCCCCTAGAGAATCTCCAGGCCCCTAGCTTGTCACGCAGGTTCTTGCTAGGTCCCCCAGCTAGGTGCCCTTTTTTCACCGTTTCTTTTTTTGGGGAGGGTTCCCCTACGAAAATAGACTGCAGAAAAAGGTGGGTACCCTTATTCTAACCTCTCTACTGGAGGACCTAGCTTGTGTCATTGGGTGCTGTAGTTGTTGACCCCATATTCATCAACCCAAAATCAGGGTGGTTTATGCCCCAAAAAGATATTGGGGTCATGTTGACCCCATATGAATCAACCCCAGCTTTTTGCATATGCGGGTGAACACCGCTCCCAAAGTGGTCTGATTCCCCTTCAAAAGTGGTCAACAAATTACCACCCTGCAAGACTGCTGAGTTCATATAGGGTCAACATTACCCATCGGCCATGTCACGTTTGAGCCGGATTCCAGGGTTTCAAGTTTCCAACAACTTGCACCCAAGGCCAGAAGGTCTCCGTTTTTAGTGCGCGAACCATCCCCCCCCGGGCCAAACACAAAAAAGTCAAACAAATCCAAAGCAACATGGACCAACCGCCTCGAGTTTTTCCAAACACCAAGAAAAGCAAAAACCAAACAACATCGGAAAAATAGTCTCGAGATTTCCGTTTTTAGTACCCGAGCCATCCCCCCTCCCCACCCCCCGAAACGCAACCAAAACAACATGGTAAAACCGCCTCATTTTTCCCCAAAAAAAGAAAGCAACATGGAACAACTGCCTCGAGTTTTTCCAAACACCAAAAAAGCACAAACCGAACAACATAGAACCACACAAGGAAAAACAGCATAGAAAAACAACATAGAAGAAAGGGAACATAGAAAAAAAGGGAAATGCATGGGAAAAACCGTCTCCAGTTTTTCCGGATCCGGCCTTTCAGGCAGATGTGCACTGTGGCAACTTCAAGCTCTTGGATTCCATCGCACAGCAGCTGCACTTCTTTCACAGGCGCGCCGAATGCGGAAAGCGGGAAAAACGGACCACCGGTCCCGCCGGGGTGGTCCGTTTTTTTTTTTTTAGGAAGCCAAAAGGGGTGGCCGTTTTTGTTTCTTCCTTTTTCTTTTTTTCTCATTTTGTAGTGTACACCCTCGTAACACAGTTGTTTGGGGGAACCTGTGATGCTGAAAGGGAAGCACAGGAGGAAACCACCATTTTTGTAGGGTTCCCTTAGGTTTGAGACACATCCAGTTCCTCAAATCAGATCTGGTTTGCTCTAGGTCACTTTTTGACAGACAGCTGATCAGAACGGAATCTAGTGGAATCCATGTATTGTCAACAGAACTGACCTACATGGACACGTAGGTCGCGGACCCCCAGGATACCTGTCACCAGTTTGTCCTTCTGCTGGGTCGATGCTTGTAGTGGCAACCAACTTTGTGGCAGCGACCCTGGAAAACTCATAGAAATGGTGTGCGATGAACGGATTCTCACCATAAAGGATGGGGATAATACAAGCTTAGGCCCATAGGTCACGCGCCAATTGTGTGTACTTTCTTTGGGTGTCATCCTATTTGGTCCCAGTGAATGCCATCAAACGGTGCGGGAACCTTGATGGGGGTTATGTGGTGCGATTTCGCTGGACATTTGCCTAAGGCCCTTGATATATCTGCAGTTCAAGGTGCTTCTTAAGCTGAGGATCCCGCTTTTGTGGGCCTTTCCGGAGTTGGAATTGTAAGAATGTTCACTCAGCATGTACCATGCCATCATCGGGACGTCCAACAAAAATGTTACCCCAAAACTTGAGAGAAGCTTGGAAAACGACACCAGACGTCCTAACGTCATAACGAATACTCCGCAGACAAGTAATTTTGACGCTGACTCATATGTACATGTATATACACATATACGTACATGCATGGAACCCTGATCCCCAGAAAACGCGTTCAACGCCCGCGAACACCGAATTTTCGCAGGCAGGAGACGCCGAAAGCTGCCGAGGGCGAGCCGATGCTGTGGCGCACCATGGACAAAGTCCTGCAGGTGGTCGAGACTCATGGCGCCACGACGCAGATGGGGAAAAACCGGGCGGAGTCGTGCGTCGGGCGGGTTTGGACTGGTCCAAAACCCTACGGCTGGTGCGAGAGCTAGGGAAGGACCCCTTTTAGCGTTTTAGTGGGCCAAAAAA